GGGAACGGGGACGGGGAACGGGAACAGGGAACGGGGATGGGGATGGGGATGGGGATGGGGAACGGGGAACGGGGATGGGGATGGGGATGGGGAACGGGGAACAGGAACGGGGAACGGGGATGGGGAACGGGAACGGGGAACGGGAACGGGGAACGGGAACGGGGATGGGGAACGGGGAACGGGAACATGGAATGGAGATGGGGAACAGGAACGGGGAACAGGGAATGGGAACAGGGAACAGGAACGAGGAACAGGGATAGGGACAGGGAATGGGAACGGGAACGGGGATGGGGAACAGGAACGGTGACATGGAACGGGGACGGGGAACGGGGATGGGGAACGGGAACAGGGATGGGGAATAGGGAACGGGGATGGGTAACGGGGAACGGAAACGGGGACGGGGAATGGGGACGAGGATGGGGAACGGGAATGGGGAACAGGGATGGGGAACGGGAATGGGGAACGGGAACGGGGATGGCAAACGGGAATGGTGACATGGGACAGGGAACGGGGATGGGGAACAGGAACGGGGAACAGGAATGGGAACGGGGACAGGGAATGGGGACGAGGAACGGGGATGGGGAACGGGAACAGGGAATGAGGACGGGAAATAGGAACGGGAACGGGAATGGGGAACGGGGAATGGGAACAGTGAACGGAGATGGGAATGGGAACGGGGAACGGGAACAGGAACAGGGAACGGGAATGGAAACGGGGAATTGGAAACAGGGAATGGGAACAGGGACGGGAAATGGGAACAGGGAATGGGAATGGGGAATGGGAACAGGGAATGGGAACAGGGACAGGAATGGGCACGGGGAATGGGAACCGGCACCACCGGCTGACCGCTGGGGAGTGCCGAACCGCGGGAGCGAGCCACGAGCTGGCTGTACGGTCGGGCTCCGGAAAAGAACGGGAAAAGGGAGACGATTTCCCTTGACGCTGTCCCCTACGGACATCGTGGGGAGGGCAGATGGATGCCAGGCGCTTTATTACAATATTGTGTTTTCCCAGTTTTGCACGTCGCGGGGTTGGAGGATGAAATAAAGGACATGACCAAATGCAGGTGTATTTTGGGACGGGCCAAGATTATCATATGCGGGCACTTAAAGCTTTGCCTAGGTAGGATGCTCCGGCACAGGTTTAATAAAGTTTGCAAATACTTTAGCCTTTGCATAAAACATTGATAATTAAGGACTAGATGCTTTGAAAATCCCAGGGCTAGCATGTAGTTGCTTCTATCAGTTTCAGTGTTGCTGTACCTTCAGCTTCCCAAAGCATTTTGAAACCAATTCCAGCTTTCCCTCAGCATATGAAATGGCCAGTGCAATTGGGGTGAGCCACTCTTAGGAAAAAAATCTGGCAAATGTGAAGAGTATGTTTTGAAAGCTCAAAACCCCAGTGGGATACAGAAAGAATCTATTTCCATTTAAGAAACTCAGTAATTTAAAGCAAATTTCATGACTTGGGATGCACCACTTTGACTCATCCATTTTCTGATATTTAGGTTTTACAAAATTGCTGTACATTCTGTTTATGGTGGTGATTTGTACGTAATCCAGCAGTATATTAACCCAAGTTCAGTTCTGTTGTGTGTTTTACTGGGGGCTCTTCTCCACTAATCTTTAATCTCTAATATTTCTTTAAATGCTATTTATTTCACAGAACATGTTGCACTTCAAAAAAATGCACTTAGAATATTAATATTTAATAGTTCAGTTATAAGGGCCCTTCATTGCATCACTACATCCAGACTTGTAGAATTAATTGCTGTACCTGGGATAATTATCTAGAGAGAAAAATAAATTCTTCCAGTTGGAATTGTTCTGAACCAGATTTGTTGTCATAATGCTAAAGTGTGTGGATTGATGTTAGACTGTTAAAGGGAAGCAGTAGGGGGTTTTTACACAAAAATTCAGTCCTGTGCTCAATGAAGTAGGAGAGTATTTTAGCCTTGGTTTCATTTTGTATAATACTGCAACTTGTTTTGAAATCTATTTGCCTGTTGGCTCTTGGTTTAAAAAAGATTGAACAACAACAAGGTTGAATTTTTCAGGATCAGCTGAAATATTTTTTCAGTGTCAGTTTAGTCCTAAGTACTTTATCTTTCTTTGAAAAAATCAGTCCACATGCTGGGAAAAACTGATCATTATTTGCATCCCAAAATTTATCAAAGTTTATAAATAGCACCAGAATAACATGCCAGTGTGGTGATGTCAGATCATATAACTGTCAGACCCACTTTGTCTAGGAGCAAAATTGAAACACAGACATTAAAACACTTTACCAAAGCCATGAAGCACAAGTCAAATGCTACCAATTTGTATGTGCTGGGACTGCAAGTGTCAAACGTTTTGACCATTTTGAAGTGCTTTAAAATGTGGAGATGTAACATTTTCTCTCCTTTTTTAAAACATGGAAAGGAAAAATAACTGCTAAGGTTTGTGGGTGGGTTTACTTCCTAAGAACTTCCAACTGATTTATAACAGTTTGTGAAGTGGCTTTCTTAGTGTCATTCAAAGCAGAGTAAAGGAACAAGTTGAACTTGCATTTTCATTTTCAGCCCTCAACCTTTTAGCTTAGCCTGTAAAACCAGGAATCAAAAAATAGGATAAACAGTGCAAAAGTAGGCTGGGATTCTCATCACTCCTATTCGAGGACATTTTCCTTCTCTCCCTCCTGTCCTCACCCCGCCTGCTCTCCCTCCCTCACTGTCTTAGCAACAAGACTCACTGGCTGACTGTAGCTAATTTGTCTTCTACCCCCTCAAATCAATTAGTTCATCTATTTAAATCATACATCCAAGAAGCCTGCCCCCTTTGAGCACACAGCTCACTTAGGGCTCAATCCTACAATCTTCAATTTTTAAGGCAGAGAGAGTTTGCAATTTACTCAAATTACATGAGGATAAGACCTTTTATGTTCTAATTTCTTTACAAAGGCTGTAGAGGGATGAAGAGGGTGCTGGTGCTGTTTTCCTTCATCTATCTTTTTCTTTATTTGAAGATCACAACAAAATAGGGAAAAGTCCATAAATAATGGAGAAAGTAAGTAAAACATCTATTCACAAAACATCTTCTATTCACAACTGCTGCTTTAGTGATTAGAAAATCCAGTAGAAAACTCCGAGCATCCAGGAGAAAACAGCATTGTAGTAGTAATGACTACAGCATACCTTTTTGTCGAAGCTTTTAATCAAAATCATGAACCTGTCTTTTAGTGCATATTTTAACGAAATGCTAAACATTGCACAGATCTCAGAAGGAAGCCTTCTGCTCTTTTTGCACTCCTAACAACCTCAGGCATAATGAGGTGTGACAAATTGTTTTAAAATGTAGTTTCAGGAAGAAGGGCAGGCGAGCTTTGCTCTGCCTTGTGGGTGTTGTAGTCGTTCTGCAGCCTCTCTGCCTGGGCAGCAATAGGAACCTGGACTCGAAGTCCCACAGCTCCCACTAGAGTCTGCCGCACAGGCTCAGAGCCCATATGCGAGGAGGGGGTGACTACATTGTGTCTATTGTATGATTTTTTTTTGTTTTGGTTTGGTTTCGTTATTATTTTTTTTTCCCCCTGGCATTTTTCACGTTTCACGGGAGGTGCAAATCGTGAGTAAAAAGCATGGCAGATGAGCAAGAAATAATGTGCAAACTCGAGAGCATCAAGGAGATCAGGTATGTTTGCTTTGTGCCCCATCGTTCCGTGAAGCAGCTTTTTCCTCGGGGGAGCGGAGGAGTTGCATCGATCTGAAAGTAGCTATTGTGCCACTGAGGGAAAGAAAACTACCGCTGGGTTTACCACGAGAGCTCAAAACACATTTTCCTAAGCAGGGAGGGAGCATCTGCTGCCGGGAATCGCCGCTGGAATGCGTAGTGAAGGGCGGTAATGGTCGTGCATTTGCAGAGCGCAGCCCCGAGTGATTACAGGGGAAGGCGGAGTGCGCGGGTGGGAAGGACCGAGCGGCCCCAGCGCAGCCGGGGGGAGTGGTGTCGGGCCGCGGCTGGCGTGGGGTTTGCGCTCTTCGCTTGTTTGCTTGCTTGCTTGTTTGTTTGTTTTTAAGTCGTTTGAATTAGTATTTCGTATCCATGAGGCTCTGAACCTGTTAGTTTGCCCCACTCGCTCCCGGGCAGGAGTCTTGTCGGGCTGAGAAGGAAGCGGGGGATGCAAGGAAAGCAGAGTGACACCCAAATCCGAAGGCTCGGGCAGAACTGGGTTGGGCAGCGCTGCAGGCACCGGCAGAGCCCCACGGGGTGCAGGACAACCATCCATCCATCCATCCATCCATCCATCCATCATCCATCCATCCATCCATCCATCCATCCATCCATCCATCCATCCATCCATCCATCCATCCATCCATCCATCCATCCAGCCTTACGTCCGCGGAGGGCGGCGGTAGGGCCCTCCGGGGAGCGGTGAATCCGTGCGGGATGAGGGGGAAAGGCTGAGCCTCAGCGGCTTCTCTGTCCCTGCCCTGCCCTTCGGCCAAGGGCCGGGAGCGGCCGAGGGAGCCCGCGGAGATCCCCGGGGATGGGGACACCCCGCACCGGGGCTTTCTCATCGTCCCTCCTGCCACAAGCCCCGAGCTGCCTCGGGCTGCGGTTCCTGCAGTGCAAAACACCGGGAATTTGTATATAGCGTCCTTTATAGGGTGATTTGCAGGATGCTTTGGAAGAGGGGGTTCACTAAAAGCCAGGCAGGGTAGAGCACATGCCCGCATCAGGAATGTTCTTCATAACTTTAGGTGCGGCATTTCCACTCCTTGGTTCAGGGCACCGATTTTCAGGATTAGGCCTGAGCTGTCTGTTTAGTTGGAAGTGGTGCAGCCAAAAGCCAAAAGATGTTAGAGAGAAGAATGGTTTTGAATGCAGCTGGGAGGTGGAAGGCATGCTGACTGCAAAACCCCAGAGCCATGAGAAACGTATGGGACATGACAGCCAGAGACGGGCTAGGAGGGAGAGAGAGGAGAGGGCTGGCGAGGAATCCCAGCTCCCAGGTGATCACAGGGACTTCTGGCTGGTTACAGCATCTCTAAGAAGAACATTTCATCCATGGAATAAGTGAATTAGACAGCAGAGTATGGGCCTCAGCCTTCTTCACACAATACCACAAAGGTGAACAAAGATCAAGCAAAAATATTTGTCTGTCTGGTATCTCCAAACTATTTGTAGAAAGAGATGAGACGGTGTAAAGACAATGACTTTGTATTCAAATGATAGAGAAGCTCTGTTTTAGAAAACAGATCTAAGTGTGGCCTACTACAGTGTGTGGTCCAATTACTGTAACAATTTAAATTAATTTTTCAGTGAGAGTGGTATCCTGTATTTGGAAATTCACAATGCATTCAGTTTTTGGATAACATATTCAAAGGTGATATATTAAGTGCACTTGACAGATTTTTGCTATTATTTTGTGGTATAAGGTAGAGCAAAGGTCATGTTTAGCTTTAGTGTGCAATGAAATATCAAGCAAGTTACCTGAGAGTATTTTAAATAAAAAAAAGATCTGTGTCAAAAAGCCATCGTACTTGCAACATTGTTGTCCATTTTGAGTCACCTTTAACAAAATCTGATCAAATAAACCTATTTACAAAGTCAAAGCTTGCATTCTGTGAAGAATTTCCTTCGAGATAAACAAGAGATTTCCTTATGTTTACAGATTCAACTTTGATAGATTTAGCAGACTTTATTTTAATCTGCATTTCATGTATTCTACAGACAGAGGGAAACGAAGTCTTCATGAACAAAATCAAAGAACTTGCCCATTTGTGTAGTTGATTTCTATTGTGTATTATGATACAGTTTAGCTGGGTTTTGAAGGGATGTGAGAATCTGATTTTTAATCTGGAATCTGATCTCTATATCCATATCTGTATCTATAGATAAATACATATAATTTGTAGTCAAGGGAATACTTCTTTCAGTAAGTCCATCGTATGCCCACAATCCAAACATATATGCACATGCCTATTTATATGCATTAAAAAATTCCACAGAAATAACCCAGTCATAAAATTAGGTAAATACCTAAAGATTCCATGTTCTGACTGGGAGGAGATAAAAGAGAGTAAGAGTGAATTTACTGATGAGAGATGCAGACACGTCATAAATACAAGAGAGGAAACAGGAATTTTGTAATTGTTCTGTTTTAAATTTCCTTCATTCATATTATTCCTGCCTGACCACCTGCCTCTGAATACATATTGTATGTAGAAGTTTTTATTATACTGTTCTTATCTCTTGCAGCTTTATAAACTCCTGTAGTGAGAGGTGGAGGAACCCAGATCATATTACTGGCTATGACACTTGGATTATGTAGCCATAATTAATTGTCCAAGTGACTGACCCTGCTTTCTGCCACGCTCTGTTTAAACGTGACAACATTCTATTAATTTCATGATTCAGTAAATAATTCTCTTACCACTGAAAAGCTCAGCAAAAGAGCTGGCATTAGAATTCAGTATTCTCCTTGTACCTCATCTTCCCTCAGACACATTTAGTCTCATTCTTGTCTATTGCTGCCTTCTTTCATCTATCTAATCCCATATAAAATGACACCTCACAAAAATATCTGTCAGTGACTTACTGTTGTCTCTCTGTCTTTTTAATTATCACTGGGATTCAGGAATAAGACTTTACAGATGGAAAAAATAAAGGCAAGACTGAAAGCAGAATTTGAAGCCCTGGAGTCTGAGGAAAGGCACCTGAAAGAATATAAGCAGGAAATGGACCTGCTGCTGCAGGAAAAGATGGCTCACGTGGAGGAGCTGCGACTGATCCACGCTGACATTAATGTGGTATGTGACAGCCCTGCTCAGACAGTCTGACTAAGACACAGCTGCACATGAATCATCCCACAGCTTGTGGAATTGTGCACATGAGTGAACCATCTGGTCCAATAATGTGCACTTTACAGCACCATCCTAGGATCCTACAGAGAGCACAAAGTAAATTTACCTCAGGATAACTGTTTTTTCCCTTTGTTAGGGCGGGATATTTTGTAATGTTGGCATAATAAGCTGTTGCACCAATAGGATAGATAAGATAACCAAGCCTGTTGTGGCTATGACTTCACCGGTAGCCACAAGGATACAACTCCAGCTGTACCATAGAAAGCAGTTCTTCCTGTTAGTCTTTTCTCATTTAGCACCAAGAAACAGAAACTTTGGCATTTAGGTGGGACTAGAAGATTTTGAGAAAATACATAGTGTTTGTTAAGTTCATAGTAAGAGCTGACCTTCTTCCCAGAGTGGAATCACCAAACATCAAGAAGCACCAGCTTGAAGGGAATTAATACAAGTAAGAGAAAAAACAATTTATAAATAGGAAAGATTAGCTAATTAGAGGGGCTAAATAGGGAATATATTTTTAAATAAATTTTTTATGTCATATTAGGGCACTTATATGGGGTTTTTAGCTCTGAAGGTATCTGTGTTGCACCAGCAAAAAAAGCTCCAATGAGTGAAAAAGTACAAGCTATGTACTGGATGTGCAGACTCCATTTATTTATGACTTCAAATGTCTGCTCCCCTGTCCAGCTGCATAACCTCAGCCTCTGTTTCATTCTCCTCTCTTTGTGCAGTCAGGCTGTCTTTTTCCCTGCTCCTTTTCCCACCTGCTGCAGTAAGAGAAGCAGAAACCTTTCCTTAGCTTGTTTGTTAACTTCTGCCAGTCATTGTTCAGGTATCTTTGAAACACAGAAAATTAGTTTATGCTACTTCAAGCTTTTTTTTAATATGTCTTGAGAGTTTTCCATAGCTCCTCACTTGCCGACTTTATTGTAGCCTTTCTCTGCTTTTTCTGTTGTTCAGAAGTTCCTATAGGTTGAGTGCACTTTTTAAAAATGAAAATACATCTCATATATCACTTTCTGTTGCTTCTTCTTTGCCCACTTTTCATCCTCCCAATACCTTAAGTCTTTGCTTTACTATTGCATTGTCTCAAATCTCTTTCAACTTGAGTAAGAAAAATCTTTCTGGTACAACCTGTTGCTCAGTCGGAGAGGAGCAGTTCTTTAAAAACATGCCCAACCTCCTGTTTCAGATGGAGAATACTATCAAACAGTCTGAGAATGATCTTAACAAGCTCTTGGAATCTACTCGCCGGCTCCACGAGGAGTACAAGCCCCTAAAGGAGCACGTAGATGCCTTGAGAATGACTCTGGGCTTGCAGAGGCTGCCTGACCTATGTGAAGAGGAAGAGAAGCTGTCCCTTGAGTAAGTCTCCAAAGCAAACATTATCTGGCTTTATGCTTCCTTTCAATTCTACTAGTCATTTTCTCATTTTAATTTTGTTGGTAGGTGGAGAAAAAAAAAACCCAAGAGGTAAGCATGAAAAACAAAAGTTGACAAAAAAGGATGTGGAGGACATCTATTTGATAACATTCAGTCTGAATTTGTTTCAAGTTAAAATTAGGTTATTCCAAGCTGCAAATTCTACATACCACGTGCAAACATTTAAGGATGGTTGTTGGCCTTCTAGGTTTTATACCATATGTTGCTCTTTCTCTATTTTTATTTTTCCCTGAAAATTACTTCTTTAGCAAGCAATAGTAGGAGGCAATACACAACAGGGATACAAACCAGGTATTCTTGAGTTGGGTTGTGCTGCTAATCAGATTTTTACTTTTTGCAGCCTGCACATGACAGTGGCTTTTAGCCAAATACCTGTGACTGTCAACAAGTTTCCCTGAGATGTGGAATGAATTTGGATAATAAATCACTGTCTCATTTTTATGTATAACCTAGGCAGAGCAATGGCAGAATTAGCTTCTAGTCAAAGAACAATGTTCTTTTTTTAACAGACCAGTTTCAAATGCAAAGGATGTTTTAATAAGCGTGTATTGATCTTATTGCCCAGTAAAATTAACATAGTTTTCACAGGCACACAGTTTTCAAGATTTTCTTTGTATTTCTATAGGAATGTTGTTTTACATTCCAAACACCTTGACAGTGCAAAGAATGTGTTAATCTGCTTATTAATCAGTTGTGTACAAAAGTTATTAATTTTAACAGAATAAAATAGAAAAGCTGTTTGACAGAGGTGCATCTGAAGGTGTTTCCTATTTTTCTTCTATACATGCTGTCTATTTTTCATCTTACTAGATTTACATCCAGTCTGGAATCTGGAAGTGTAGAAATGCAGAACAAAACACCACATACTCTATTTATGAACTAGTCAATGTGTAGGCAATTTGGCAGTTTGACTCTAGTGGAGGAACATGATAGAGAAATGTGATCCACTGTATTTTAACACCAAATATCCTTTACAGACTAATGAAACACTTCAGAAGGTGGTTACATTTTTTGTTTGTCATTCTTTTGTCTAGCTACTTTGAAAAGCAGAAAGCAGAGTGGCAGACAGAACCACAGGAGCCTCCCATCCCAGAGTCTCTGGCTGCAGCTGCAGCAGCTGCCCAACAGCTGCAGGTGGCCAGGAAGCAAGATACCAGACAGACAGCAACTTTCAGACAGCAGCCACCTCCAATGAAGGTCAGGAGATGGCATGTGCTGGGTTTTCTCTTTTGTCACTGGAATGCATTCTGTTTAGAAAGTGATTGTTTGCAAAAAGTGATATTTGCAAAAAAGGAAAAATTATGTGTCCTAATTCTGATTTTCCTTGCAGTGGTTCAAAACAAGAGCAAGAAGTAAACTGAAGTAGTAGCACCAGTCATCAAGGTTTAAAGATAAGAATCTTTTAGGACTTAAGAGTCACCCTCAGCAGAGATGTAGAAATTCCCACTCCTCTTGTGTTTCACGTGAGAGCAAGGCATGTAAGAAAGAGAAAAAAATCTGTGCAAAAGAAAAAGTAGTGGCTCTTAGTTAATGTCATATGGAGTCATATTAAAAGCAATGCACATATTTTATGAGGGAAATTACCAATGGTGTAAATTACCAGGAAAGGTGATTGCTTCTGTACTTGGGATCTTCAAGAGTAACATGTGGATTAATGTAACAGAACCACAGGCACTTAAGTGACAGTTTCACTCAGCTCCTTATGTAGTGAGAAGAGTTAAGTAGTTACATAGGGGTATTCATCCCACCCAGGTTCCAAAGAGTCACTAAGAAGGTAAACCGATGTACGTACACACCAAAGTAATATACTTACTGTCTGTAGTTTGGCAATTGAAAGCATTTCTGCAAGTAATAGGCTTCAGTCAAACATAAATTACAGGGCTTAGTCTGGAGCAAAAGGGAAGAGTTCTGTACCTTGTGTTAAATATGTGGAATTCATCCAACCACCTGCTCCTGCCTTCAATTCTGTGACATTGCAGTTGGCCATCACTGTAACTTCTCTGACTCAGTGAGCTATTAGGCAGGTAAACACCTTTAAAATACCACTGCAACCTTTAATGCAAAATAGAATTTGAAGTTACTGATACATGTATGAGCCACGTGTCTGCAGAAATGTAGTTTTACTTCAATGAGATGCTCCTGTTTTTCAGTAAGCCTGAAATTACAAACCACATGCCGAGATTGTATAGAATGCAGCGGCAGTTTTCCTTTGCAAGGAGAGGAAGGCAAGGAGCCTTGTTTTTGTCTGTGCTGTAAGGCAGAGTGTGGTGCTCAATAACCTGTGTACCAAGGCCACTTTGATGTTTGTAACAAGAGGCTGCAATTGCATTTCAGGCATGTTTGTCGTGTCACCAACAAATCCATCGGAACGCCCCCATATGTCCCCTCTGCAAAGCAAAGAGCCGATCTCGGAATCCCAAAAAGCCCAAGAGGAAACAGGATGAATGAAATCCAGAAGATTGACAAGCTGTGTGACCTGTCCCAGTACTTTTCCAGTAGAATGGCAAATTTGCCCAGACTTGACTGAATTGCAGACTCAAGTATGACCGTCTCATTGCTTCTATTTAAATGCAATGTAAGCACAATGTTCCTGCTCTAAGTTCCTTCCAGTCTATAGGATTTGGTTTTAGGAAAGTAAATATTACTGGTGCTACAGTTTAACATTTCAATTGTTCCATCTTTTGTACTCCTAAACAAACTGCAATTCTTTGTGCAAGTATCCTAAATGTCAGGCTATTTCTATTGATCAAATGTGATTACCACAAAATGCTTTTATGTTCTCTTTTTAAAAAACAGATGTTACTAAAAGATTATTCTGTTTTCTCCTGATAGCAGGAGACTATTTGAAGTGCTGAAATAGCAGACTGTCTGTTCATTTCACTAAAGAACAATTTGTTTTCCAATCTCATAAGAGTGGGTAGGTTTGGGTATCCAATGGAACTCTTTTTAAACAGGCAATGTTCAGGGAAAATGAGACTTGTTATACAGAAAATCAATGCATTAAGGACACATATGGGTTTTGATTTACTAAAACTTGATTTAAAACTTGGAAAGGTGCTGGCTGTGTATGAATTTCTAAAAATTATGTATTTTGTCATGCTTTAACGTCCTAACAGGTTATTATTTTCATGGTCAAAAGACTAATTGACTTAAGAACAAGGCTGAAGTGAACTGTATTAGTGGTCCTCCTAGGCTTTATGGCTGGCCAATGACACTGTGGTTCTCTAGGAAACATGCATGATATATCCCAGAGCCCTATGTGCACAGACTGCACATCAGCCATTCTGCATGTCCTCTGTTCCTGGTTTCTACAGCCAAAATCTTGCAGGCATATCCTCCACTGGAGCATAGGAAAGTTCAGGAACATGCATAAAGAGCAGTGTCAACTAAAAATGATGTATTTCACCAGAACCATTGAGCTTTGGTGTCATTGTCCTCCCTCAACCAAAACTTTCTATTTCTCTGGCTTTTAATAGGCAATTTTCAAATAAGCTTTACTTCAGGCCAGTTTGTTTTCTTGTTCCCTGTGTGCCAAAAGAGCCCTGACTAAAGCATCTGGAGTAGATCACTTCCCGTATGTCTTCCCTTTGTTTCATGTAATGTAACAACAGTTCTTGCAATGGGGAGGATGGCAGTGATCCACTTACAGAACTGGAATTGAAATTTATCATTTATAATCCCAGTTTTGTGACCAACCTTTGTTGCCTAAATTGATCTCAAGTGTTAAATATTCTTTTCACTAACTCTGGGACACAGGAACTGCTTGTTTACACTCCTTTCTCTTTTAGCCCAAGTTTCTTTCCACTATTATGTTAGAGTGGTGATGTTGGGAATTTGGCTTGTTAGATGGGAACAACAGGGAAGCTCCAAGTCTCTGCTCCAAGAACTTTGCCAAATGCTGGCAATAGTAATAAATCCACATGATGCAATTTTGCTGGCCAAATCACATATATCACCATTCCTTTCCTAAGTCTGCCACAAAGTACATGAGTGATTTACTGAACATAGTCCTAAAACTGAAGCCAGGTTCAGGAGATAGTCCCCCATTTTAATGTTACATAGTCAAATTAACATCTGCCAACAGCAGACAGAATGTGGACCACCTGCCCCTGAAATTATGTAAAGAGCAGATTCTGCTAGCTGAACTACAGGGATTTGGTCTCTGAGATAGCAATAATAGAAGACAGTCTCCATGCTCCAAATGCAATAGTGTGTTATGCATGTTTTGTAGCACAAATTCTGGGTTCTACTGTTTTAAATGTCACAGTGGTCACATGCTGTGTGCCCTGTTCAGAGCAATTCCTATGGAGTTGAAAGGAAACTGCACAGAGTTAAAACACAGTATGTGGACTTCCCCAAGTGCATACATGAGAGCAGCATACTTTGATGGTAGTTGTACATAAATTTAAGAAGTAGTGACAGTGGAGTGGGCGAATGGTCTGCAATGAAGTAGTGTGAATAGAAGGATTGATTTGTAGAGACTTCTACTTACAGTTCAGAAATAGATAGGGTTAGTCATAGTTGTTCTCACTTTACTGTTACTTTGCCAGGTTCTTTCTTTCCTGGGAGATCTCTAAACTGAAATATACTGAAGGATATACAATTTACTGATTTAGTACAACAGTTTTGTATTTTTACTTTTTTAAACTAATCTCATGTGCTCTTGTGTTTTACAGGGTTAGGGTTTGTTGGTTTGATTTTTTTTCAAAAAAAGTGGATATGACATACTGTGTTTGCATCAGTTGTACTAGTGTTTACAGATTTTCACATCCTTTACGAAGTTCTGCCATATCAATAGGATGCATTGCTGAGGGTGAGTGTAACTGGAGATAAGTCAGCAGGGTGCCCTGGCTGCCAAAAGGGCCAACCACAACCTGGGGTACATCAAGCACAGCATTTCCAGCTGATTGTCTCACTCTGCACTGCACTGGTGAGGCCTTGGGCACTGTGGGGCAGTTGGGGATGCCTCAGTGCAAGGATATCACACTGTTACAGTCCTGGAGTCACCTGTGAGACAAAGTCTGCAAAAGGTCTCAAGGACAAGACCTCTGAGGAGCAGCTGAGGATGCTTGGCTTGTTCAGTTTGGAGAAAAGAAGGCTGAAGGGTGTCTTCATCACAGCCTACAACTTCCTCTAGGGAGAAGCAGAGGAGGAGCAGGTGCTGATCTCCCTCTGATGACCAGCAACAGGATATGAGGAAATAGAGTGAAGCTGCATTGAGGGAAGCTCAGCTTGGACACCAGGAAAAGGTTCTTCTCTGAGAGAGTGGTTGGTCACTAGTCCAGTGACCCAGGGAAGTGGCCAAGGCACCAAGCCTGTCAGGGTTTGAGGGTCACTCTTAGCCATACAGTTTAATGGTAGGTAGTTGGACCTGATGATCCTTATGGATCCCTTCATACTTGAGATATTCCATGACTCTAGCCATTTCAAGGAGATAAAATATGCATTATGTATTGGGGGACCATGGGGGTGGGGACAGGGAGGGAAGCAGTGTCTTTTATAGGGAAAGAGTATTCTTTTCTCTCACAGAATAATCACGGAAGTTTAACTGAAGAACTCTTCTCGTGACAGCCCCAGGCTCTTTTCTCCCAGGCAACTCTCTCAAGAGACTGGAGGAATAATTATGAAATATTGATTTCTTGGTATTCAGACAGAAGAGGAAGCTGTCTGAAGTACAGCTCTTAACACAAGTCTACTGCATTTTTGCTTCATGGAGCAACAATGGCTTCTTCGTTTGTATCTGAAGTCTTTGTGGATACTTCTTCACTTCACTTAAATTTATTCTTATTTGGGTCAAATTGTCTGAGTAGCCACAATGAAACCCTCCTCAAGCCTTAGGAGGCTTTTATATTACTGAAGTCTGGTTTAATCCTGTCTTTGTCGTTCTCTTTTTAAAAGGGTATCCATGTAACAACAAAATAACTGGATTCTCTTGGTAAAGATGGTTTCCAGGGTCTTTGTTCATCACTTGCCTCAAAGAATAGTCCTGTTGTTCTGCAACCAAACAGGAAAAAACCAAAATCCCAAGCCTTTCACCCTGCCATCAAACCTAAGCTCATAAGTAAAAGGATTCAAACACTGTACTGCAGCTAAATGCTTTGCTATAGACATTTTCATACCCAACCTGGGGTGGATCAATTGTCCAAACTTTAGTGCCATGGACACCATTAACTACAGAGAAAATGTAAGGCAAATTTAAATACTTGACTTCCTGAATTCAACCTTAGCTTTGTAAACAGGACCCTGACTGAAGCTGACAGTGGCTTCAATTTACATAATCTAAATTTGAAAGAATAGACATTGATGTGTTACTTTAAATAGCATACTATTCAAGCAATTAAGACTTCACTAGCACTTTAAATAAATAAAAAGTGCTTTATTCATTTATTTTAGAGTTTTCTAATTCCTCCAGCATACATTTTCATTTTAGTATTTAGGTATTCTAGCAATATCTGGTGTTTTCACTGGCTTCTGTGTTTTAAGTATTTTACTCCTGTGCCTCACAGGAGTTGTGAGATCTGTTTAATTTGTCTGTACAGTCTTTTAAATAAATGTTTGTTTCATGTCATGCTTTCTTTCTTCAGAGTACTTTTACATCTTTTATTTGCTTATGCTACTTAGAAGACCCAGTGGTAAAACTCAGCTTTCTGATTTTACAGAATGAACTTAGCCAATTCTGTTATACCTTTATAGAAACTTTATGAAAATAAATAAGGGGAAAGAAAGATCCCCTCAAACGAGCTTTAGAAAATAGAAAGGAAAAGGAGATAGCACAACAGGTTTTAACTTAGCCAGACTTCTCAGTTCTTTCCTTCTAAAGTTAAATTTGAGAGTGGCAAGAAACACAATTCCTTCTCCAATTTAATTATTTTTGTAGCTGTTTGTTTTGTTTAGCAATAGAAATTTTTCAGACTTTGAAGCAACCTGCTCTAATTTCTGTTCATCCTGGTGCTTTTTTCAATTCCTTAATCCTAATCTCAGTTGTAACATTACTTACAACAGTAGTCACAAGGCTAATACACATTCATACCTTCTTAAGAACCCTGAAATATTCCTTGTAACTAACATCAGCTTCCATCACATTTTCCTGAGCTTAGCAAGATTCTGCCATAAAATGAGCTTCAAACCCCTGGATCTTCCTAAATCTAATATTAAAGTGTAGCATTAAAAATAATCTAATATATTTCAAGGGGAAAAAAAAAACAACACACACACACACACAAAATTAAGCACCAAAGCTTGACCCACCCTTAGAAACACTTAAAAATTATTATTGTGCTGTTCAGGCTTTACTCCAACAAGCCTTACTCTTAACTTCTCCTCTTCACTCTATTCAGGTGAAGTGGTTTAGTGGTGAGCTTAGCAGTGCTGGGTTAATGGTTGGATTTGGATGATCTCAAAGCTCTTTTTCCAGCCTAAATTATTCTAAGGTTCTTTATCTGTCCTGCTCCCTTTCCCCCCTCATTTGCTGTTCCTCTCTCCTTTTTCTTGTCCCTGTATTTTCTGTTTGTCTCTGTCCCATTCCCAGCCTTGTGTTTTCCCTGTACAACCCTGCCACCATGCTGGTTTCCTCTTCCTCTTCCTCTTCCTCCTGCCCTTCCCTCACCACAGGCTCGCTCCTGGTGGTCTCCACCTCTGTCCAGCAGAGATGTTCCAGGCTGAGGGAAGGAACTGCTGCTCCACAAACAACCCTGGAGCTGTCCCGTGGGCAGGACCCCCAGCTGAAGGAACCTGCTGAAGGAACTTGTCACAAGCATGACAGAATAAACCCTCATCTGTGGTATTCACATTCTCTGAACAGAGAGAGACTTGATTCTCTCTCCCAGGATTTTTCCTGGGAAGTTGTGAGACGCAGTGAGAAAGCTCAGAGAAAGAAGAAAGCAATTCTTATCTCTATTCACAACACCTGTTTTTTAGCACATGTGGAATGTGTTATGGCGATTATTTACCAAAGAGTGATTTGTTAATTGGACACTGATGAAGGTGGGTCAAAGCTGTGTCGTCAGGAGACAGTCACAGGGTTTTCTTTAGTATGATATAGTTTTTAGTATGATATAGTTCTAGTATAGTATTAATGTAATATAATTTAGCTTAATAAAAACAATTTATTCAACCCTCTGCAGCACAGAGTCAAAGCACATTATTCCCGGTGCAGGGGGGTTGTACTACTTCAATATTTATCAGCCACCTTTGCTGTCTCTTCGCACTGGGCGAGGGGCTGGGAGGAGCCCCGGGCAGGAGGTGATGCCCAAAGAGAACCGGACAATGCCCGCCTGTCCTGCCGGGCCCCAGCCTGGGGTCTGACAGCATCCCTGCTCCTGCGCTCACGCTTCTTAGAATCTTTATGTCTCCGGGCCGCATTTTTTGGTTTGGTCCTACAAATACAGATACAATAGGGGCTTGAAAATAGAAATGCGACTTTTGTACATATAGATTATACAAAGGAAACAACAAAAGGTTTGGAAACGCAGAAGATCCGATCTCCGTGGCGGCAGCAGCAGCAGCTGCGCGCGTTCGAGGCTTCGTGGCGCCGCCTGGTGGCATCCCGCGGTACTGCATGCCAAAGGCGGCGCTGCTGCAGCGCGGGGCCCTGGCAAGCGCCGCGCCTGTGCACTTTGTACATTATTTTTGCACTATTTATATTATTTACCCTTCCTACGCTCAGTGCTGCCGCCCGGAGGGAAGCTCCCGGCCCTGCGAGCCGGAGCCGGCGCTGTCCGTGGCCGCCCGCCCGGCCCGGGAGCGGCGTTGGCAGCGCCGCGTTCCCCCCGAGCAGCGGACACGCACCCAGCGCCCCGAACCCCGACAGTGCCCTCCGACCACCCCCGGTGAAGAAACTGCCGAAACAACCCCGCTCCCGCCTCTCCCCCACAAGCATTTCAAGGGTATGTCAAGGGCTTCGTCCTTTGTCCCTTGATTGCTATTTTCCATCTTCCTGCCAACAAATGTGAAGAAATTCCCTAAAAAATCCTAACCCCCAACATACAGAAACTCAAATAGAGAAGTGCCATAGCTGAGATTTTCTCCACGGCTTGAATTCTGTGTGTCACATCATCACTGCTTTTCTCATTCCCTGCGGCTGGGGAACTTCTTAAAGCAATAATAACATTTTCATAGACGTGAACAACAACTGTGGAAAAGCTTTGCAGTTACAGACAACATGCTGAGACTCATTGCTCCCTTAAGTGGATATTAATTGCTCCCTCGCACTAGACCTTGTGCACACAGGGACCCAAACCACAGGGACTGTCACCACCAACAGGACACTGACCAGTCACACCAGCCTTTGCTTCTCCCAAAAGCTGCTGAGATACATTCTCTGTAACACATCTTACAGGCTGTGATTTTATTACAAGGTTTTATTTTATTAACGAGCAATGCTGGGAGTCTTTTTACTTGAGGGAAGTTATTTTGCTCATTAGTCACAGGTACTGGATGTGAATGGGAAGCAGGGCTTTTGTTTTCTCTCTGTTGCAGCTAGTTAACCACACGTATCTGGTGGGAAGAAAAGGAAAAGGAACCATGCAGAGGTAGATCCTGGGAGACAGAAATGCTGCCCTGTGGCCTGCCTTGAAGATGCTGGGGATGCTCTCTCTTGTGCAGAGGGCATGCAGCACTCACACACTGCCAGCAGATCCCAGCGAGTCCCCGTTTACAAGCTGGAAAAAGGAGCCATGCCTTCCCACCTCAAGGTCCTCCAGACTGGGCCTGCAAGTGGCCTTCAAAGGGAGATAAAGGAGGATGGGAGCCTGCTGGAGGATGGAAGGATGAGGGCCAGAGCAGTTGGATGTTCCACAAGTCTGTCTCAACCCACCCTCGCTATCCTGCTGGGAAAAGGGGCTGGCCATGGCAGGGCTCCTGCCCAGGCTGCCAGAGGGATTCCTTCACCCACACCACAGCACAGCAGTGCCTGCTGAGGCTGGAGGGGTTTGTCCTGTGCCTTCTGATTCTGCCCAAGGCTGTGGCTGTTTTATCCCTGCCCCTCATGGCAAACCTCAGGCAATTCCATGGTTTCATTCAGACATGTTTATTCTAAGTGCATCCTCATGTCATCCACAGTCTGCCGAGGATATTTTGTTTGGGAATTTCTCCTTTAACTCTTTGAATTCCTCTGTAAATAGGCAGCTGCCTTTACTTAGCAACTGCCTGAGTCATTTCCTCTCTGAGCAATCCTCTGGGTTCACTCTGCAGTACTTCCTCTTAACATTTTCTACATCTTCTGATATTTTTCCTTTCTTAGCTGAGGCAGGCTGTTAAAAATAGCAACAGGATTTCACTGTGTCTTTGCAAAACTGATACTACCACCCCAAAGATCTCTTTAGGTCCTTTCTCAGAATAATTTCCGTTTTCAGTTGTATAATTATTGAGTCTTGAGGCAAGAGAAAAGTTGCATTTTAGTGATCCTAAAAATCTTAATGAAGATATAAATTGCTTCAATATGATTCAGGTTTCTGTTTTGAAATATTACTGAAATAAGATTGACATAAACAATCTTGTCAATAGGAAAAACAGGCTTAAGGGATGAAAGCTTTTTGCCACTTTTTCATTTTCACCAGATGCCTGGAGAGAGAATCATAGAGGTTGGAATTTTTAAAGTTGGAAAAGACTTCTAAGATGAGTCCAACTGTTAACCCTGCACTGCCTAGTTCATCACTAATCCATGTCTCCAAGTGCCACATTCGTCCATTTTTTTAAGAGCTCCAGGGATGGTGATTCCACCACTGCCCTGGGCAGCCCCTTCTGGTGTCTGACAACCCCTGCAATTAAAAAAAAATTTCCCTAATATCCAACCCAAAATCTATATACACACATATAAATATTGTATATGCCGGTTTCCAATACACTCTTCTACACTAGCTGGCATTCACTATCACCTAGAATTTTTGTAATATGAGTTTATTTTTTACTGTACAGCAATACCAAATTTCCAGGATGTGAAAGCCCAAACCGTGTAAGCCAGTGGAACAAGATGTGCTGTGCCAACCAAAATCGTTTCTGGGGGGGGGGGAAGAAAACAACCCAAAAACCCCAAAAAACAGAAAAGAAAAGAAAAACCCAACCTGGTTTTAGGTAAAAGAGAATTTGGGGATTTAGCATTTCTTTAAGGAAAAAGTGTGCTTGTCCCACTTCAGGGCAAGGACCTTGCTCAGACTATGGAGAATAAGGCTTAAATACGAGACTTCCCAACACACATCCAGCAAAATGTCCTTTCTGAAAGAAGAAAACCACACCTGACAGCCAGTGGCATTTATGCCATTACCATCCATACTGCCAGAATCCTCCCTGTGCAGGTCCTGGGTCTAACCCATGCTCAGAAAAGGCCAAGGAATCCTCTCTGCCAGGAGCACCCATCCAGCCTGTCACTGCTGTGGGCAGAAACAAGCTATGGCCAAAAGAGTGTCTGGAATTCCTGGGGAGCAGGAGATGCTTAAATCCAAACCTGGATCTGATTCCTGCTGCAGGATGTACTTTGCAGCCCCTCAGAATGTCCCACTTGCTCTGTTCAGGGCTTTTGGGAACAAGCAAGTTTTTAATTGTGCTCAGGTTTTTAATTCTAGCTCACTTCTAATTGAGTTTTGCTTTAATGTTTGTACATGAGAAGGAGAGATAATTGAAGGGGTGGAGACCCTGCTCGAGTCAGAAAAGTGAATGTTCAGCTGATTTATAGTAGGTATTAACCAGGGCCTCACTAGATTGTTCCCATTGGGAAGAGAGACTAAAGAAAAAAGTTAGAATTTTAATGATACTGAACCTTGTTTCCTTGAACACAGAAGAGCACCAAGCAGCCCAGTTCACCATTTCCAAATCAGGGTCATTACACCCGAGTCTCTCCTCCTGTTATTTCAGGAGTCCATGAGATTACTCCTTTTCTCACTGACACACAAAGCACCCAAGTCCTCTACCCTCTGCCTTTGCAAGTACAAGCTTTGACATGCAGCCATTGTTTTGGCTGGGGAACCAAAAGAAACATCAACCCTCACCTCTCATTACAGAAATAGGTGGTAATTGGTCTTTTTATTCCATTTCCAAGATCCCAGTGTTAAGTAAACCACCATCTATAGCTAAGTCCGCAATCAATGCACTCTCCTCCTCACATGAAGAATTCATAAATCCTGATTTAATCTGTTCTGCCATAGCACACTGTGCCAAATTCCAGATTGGATATTACGTAGCATCCTTCTGTGGTGTATCCTACATTTAGTCACTCCACACAGGCTTGCATCTTATTTCATTTCTAGTGTTCAACTCTGCAGTGTGTTATAGTGGATGATTTCTGAAGGGCTGTACTGCATCAGAGGCTTTTAAGGAAAATAGTCCATGAAAGAAGGATGAAATCTGAACGTAGAGGACAGCTTTGTGCTTGTACCACTTCTCTGTGCAGCTGTTCGCCAGAAAAGCAGCAAACAGGCATGAGTAGTTCTCCTTTTATTTCTGCAGGTGGCACCAAGCATTTAGTTCTGACATATTTGTTATTTCAAAGCTATTTTGAACTCCTAAAAGATGGTCTGCTGCTGTGCAGACCCTCTGTGGCTGCACGTGGCCTCTCTGCAGCTCTGTGAGCCCATGCTCCAGCTGGTCAGTGGGTCACCCCTCCATCCCCAGGGCCAGCTGGTCAGTGGGTCGCCCTTCCATCCTCGTTGTCTCTGGGATGGTGGTGGGAGCTGAGGTGTGAGGCATGGATAGCCCCAGACAGGGAGAAGACTGGCCAGGAGCCAGTGGCACGGGTGAGTGTGGGATTACAGCTGAAGCAAGCCAAGATCTTGGCTGGGGTGTCACTAACCAGACCCATATCCCAACCCTGCAGTCCTGCCCGTGTCCCATCCCATCCTCCCAACTTTTCTGAGCTGCTGCTGTGCCCTCAGACTGCTCCCACAGGGTCATTTTTCTGCTGATTTCAGAGACAGAGACACCAGAGGGCCAGTGCTGCATGGTCAGGGCACCCTTTGAGCTGTGAGGTCTGCAGAGCCTCATGCAAGGACCATGCCAGAGAGCTCTGTTCCATGACAGCTCTGGCTAATCCACACCCCACACTGATCTGCTGAGCCAGGGAAAGACCCTGGACTAAAGTGGGCAAAACACAGAAACTAAATATCCATATTCCTAACCACTTTCCATCACTGT